TACAGCTCCGAGCCGTGTTTTGAGAGTCCTTCACCGGAAGCAAACGGGATTTTGACTGAAGCCTCGTTTCTGCCGCCATGGCCAAGGCTGCGGAAGGGAGGGGCGGGCGTTGACATAGGCAGACTTGCTGCAAGCACGGAAGCTCCTCTGCATGGCAGCTTCCCCAAAAGCAGCTCCCGAATTAGAGGAGATACGCAAAAGAATGAGGTTCGTCTGGTGCAATTTGGCCTATCCCGCAAAAAGCATGGAAGGCTCTCGTTCGCGGCCTCCGTCATCATTTGGGGGAAGTACTCCCTGGTTTTGCCTCACATTCTTCTGGGGGATGTCGTCCATGCTTCTCCTCCTCATTCTCCACCTCCTCCTCCTCCTCCTCTTCCTCCTCCTCCTCCTACTCCTCCTCCCCCCCGTGCACCCCTCTCCTCTTTTTCTCCCTCACTCAACTCACTCAACTTACACTCACTAGCTTACACATACTTGCTCTTACTCACTCAACGTGCACTCACTAACTTGTGCATATACGTTCCTTCACTCACTCAACTTACAAACACTAACTTTCGCACACGTACTCTAACTCACTCAACTCACTCAACTTACTCTCGCTGACGTTCAACCGCTTACTTTCGCACTTCAATGTACACTTGCTAACTTTCAGATACTTGCTTGACTTAGGTGCGCGGACTGGCGCAGGCGCAGACTTTGTGCATGCAGATGCTGTTTTGCGTGGCAGACTGGCATGCGCGGACCGGCCGCCGTGGGGATGTTTGCGGGCCTGGGGCAGTACTTTGTTCTTGCAGATGCCACTTCGCGTGGCAGCCGCAGTACTTTGCGCATGCCGATTCTGCTTTGTGTGGCAGGCGCAGTATGTTAGACTGGTCTGCCCAGACCGGCGCTGTGGGGATGCGGGCTGTTTGGCGTGGCAGGCGCAGTGCTTTGTGCGCGGCAGGTTTCCAGCACTATCACTCAATTCCAACTCACCAACAACACATGTTCACCATGAAACACATCAAGCACAGGCCCCGCTTTAAAAAAGCTAAGCGTGTGGGGTTATTTGGTCCTTGGTTTTGTTGGTTTTTTCCCAGTTATCCCAAACTTTCAACGCAGTCTTGGCACCTCCCCAGTAGAGTGGTCAAAACATTTCCGGACTTTTGATGAAATGACATCAGCTCATATATAACTATTCTGAAAAGTTTGAAGCTCAGAAACTGGGGCAAAGGAGTTTCCCAAGTCAACAGGTTCTCGTTAAGCCAATGAGGCCAGGGAATCCTCCACGGTGGCCAGCTCCCGGTAGAAGAAATCGGCATCTCGCTTGCGCTTGTTCCAGGGGCTGGATTCCTTGGGACGCCAGAAGAAAGTTGGTTCCAAGGCCGAAGGTAATGACCCCCCCCCCAAAAAAAAACACCTAGTCTTTTTTTGTTGACTTACAAGCTTACAATGTAAACAAGTCATAAGAACATGTCTCGATGGGCGAACAATAGATGGGCCAATACAATCAGCCTTTAAACCAAGCAGTCCGAGGCCTGATTTTGGGCATTCCCATTCAGTACAGTCTTCGCTCGTCCCCGTGACTAAAGCTGGACTGCGTTTCAAAAACAAAGTAGCCATCCGTCCCATGGCTTCCGAGGCTGGCTCAATGGAATACCGGGTCATGGCTCAAACCGCGCTGCCCTTGCCTTGCTTGGAAAACAGCGCTTCACACGGGGGTCTGGAAAGATAAAAGAAAGTCTCCACCGCCGTTCGGCTTCTTTCAGCCTAAGGTCCTGCTTGTACCCAAGTGGACAGGGCAAGTACTTCACCGCGCCATGTGGCAACGAGAACAACATACATGTGAGATGGCGGCTCAATACATCGCGCCGTTATTGCAGGCTGACATGTCACGTCATCAGAACGAAACTTACCCGCTTTAAGAGAAAACAAACATGCATGGGGTTTTAGGGTTCTTGGCCGCAACATAGACCATCCGGCGAGTCGCCCCTCTCCGACGCCCGAAAGGACCAAACGGCCCAAGCGCGCCAGGAAGTGTTGACCGACTCCAAGGTGGAGCGCGCCCGACGGGCCAGGGGCTGAAAAAGTGATGGTTTGACTCGTCAAAACTGAGGACCCATTGAACTCGCGGGCAAAAGATGTTCATGTGGATTTGCCACCAAATGTCGATAAAACCTAGTTTTCTGAACTTGCTGGTGCTCAGTAGGGAATGAGAAATGGAATGAACCTAGAAACACCCCTTCAAGGAAACCATCAGTTGGATGGTTCTTTTTCGGCTCATGCCCTCATTCCCTGCTAATCGCAACAGCAAGCTGCAGGAGTTTCTCAAAAAAGATCGAAGGCATGTGATTCAATTCGAATTACATGAGCTTCATCCAGATGTCACAGGAAAAATGCTTCGCACAACCGAGGGTGTTGAAACTGCAAACCTGTCATGGACCTAGAGTCAGTCATGGTCTAGAGTCATAGACCTCCTCAATTTTAAGGTGCAGGCATGTTTTCGCCTCCGCCAACACCTCGGTTTTCGGCCGGAAGTTTTCCTATCCGACGTCCTCCAACGCGCCCGCTCCGTCTCCCGCTTGAGGCGCTGGAGCCGGCTCCAAGGCTCTGCGCCAAGGTGGTGCGCGGCTTCGGCGGGGTGGCCCCAGACTCTTTTTATTTCCGACGCGGAGTGGGATGGGGTGGGGTGGGGTGGGGTTGGGTGGGGTGGGTGTTTGTTTGTTTGTGTGTTTGTTAGGTTGGTTTGTTTGGTTTTTTGGGTTTGTTTGTTTGTTTGTTTGCTTTCTTGTTTGCTTGTTTGTTTGTTTGTTTGTTTGTTTGTTTGTTTGTGTGTTTTGTTTGTTTGTTTGTTTGTTTGTTTGTTTGTTTGTTTGTTTGTTTGTTTGTGTGTTTTGTTTGTTTGCTTGTTTGTTTGTTTGTTTGTTTGTTTGTTTGCTTGCTTGCTTGTTTGTTTGTTTGTTTGTTTGTTTGTTTGTTTGTGTGTTTTGTTTGTTTGTTTGTTTGTTTGTTTGTTTGTTTGCTTGCTTGCTTGCTTGCTTGCTTGCTTGTTTGTTTGTTTGTGTGTGTGTGTGTTTGGTTGGTTGGTTGGTTGGTTGGTTGTTTGTGTGTTTGTGTGTTTGTTTGTTTGTTTGTGTGTTTGTTTGTTTGTTTGTTTGTTTGTTTGTTTGTTTGTTTGTTTGTTTGTTTGTTTGTTTGTTTGTTTGTGTGTGTGTGTTTGTTTGTTTGTTTGCTTGCTTGTTTGTTTGTTTGTGTGTGTGTGTTTGTTTGGTTGGTTGGTTGGTTGTTTGTTTGTTTGTTTGCTTGTTTGTTTGCTTGCTTGCTTGCTTGTTTGTTTGTTTGTTTTGGTGTGTTGCTTCTTTTGTTTTTGTGTTTACCCGTCTGTTTGTTTGCACAATTTATTGCTAGCCTCTTTAGTTGTTTGTCCGTTGGTTGGTTATTTCTTGGTGTATGTGTTCATGTGTGTGTGTGTGTCGTGTTTGTGCTGTTTTGTTTGTTTGATTGTTTGTTTGGTTTGCTTGCTTGTTTGTCTGCGTGTTGTGTTTGCTGTTTGTTTGTTTGTTTTCCAGTATTGGCTTATTTATTTTTGTGTTGTTCGTTTCGTGTTGTTGTGTTTTCGTGTTGTGTCACGTTGTGTCACGTTGTGTCATGTTGTGTCATGTTGTGTCATGTTGTGCTGTGTTGTGCTGTGCTGTGCTGTGCTGTGCTGTGCTTGCTTGCTTGCTCGCTCTTTGTTTGGTTGGCTGGTTGGAGTGGTCTGCGGAGAACATCTCGTCTGGGTTTTGTTCATTCGATGCACAGAGCGGCATCCTGAAAGGAAAGTTGGGATACTTTCAGTTTGCAAATCTTAGAAGCCGGTATGTCGGACCTCACTTCGCAGTCAACATTCAAATGAGCTTTTGGTTCGAGCAAGCAGTGTGGCAACATCACGCTCGTCGGGGCTGCAAGAATCCAATCGTGTGCAGAGCCTTTACGCGGGTCATGTTTGCTTGTGTTTCTCGCTTGATCTCTCTTCCCCTCTGATTGTTTGCTTGCTTGCTTGTTTGCTTGCCTTTGCGATGATTTGTTCTTGTTTGCATCTCTCTCTCTCTCGTTTTCTGCTTCCCTCTTTGCTTTTTGGACGGCGACGGCAGGCCGAGGCAGCAAGCTCCTTGGCTTCCCCACGGCCAACATGGAAGTGCGCAGCTCGCCCAGGTTCATGGCGCCCGCGCGTTGGATCGTTTTTTCTTTTTGCTTTTTGTTTTTCCTTTTTTTATTCCTTCTTCTTTCTTTTGGAGTTGGCACCGTTTTTGGGGAGGGCGTTTTTTGTTTGTTTGAGTTGGCACCGTTTTTGGGCAGGGCGGTTTTGGCTTCTTTATGTTTTTCGAGTTGGTACTGTTGTTGGCAAGGCACATTTCAGTTGGTGGTTTGGATTGGTGGGAGAACTGGATTTGGAGTTGAGCTCTGTAGAGGGTAGATGGGAAAGCACCCTCCGAACCAATGCAGGCCAAGAGGGAAGCTGATGTGATGGTTTCCACATTGTGGAGACCGTGGTGAAGGGGGACAATTCCAATGGGGTGGGCTACTAAACCAAATGAGGCCCCGGCCGCTGGAGTCAACGTGCGCAAAGCGGTAATGTAGAGAGGCCCCAAGAGGGTCCCAGAAGTTTGATGATGGAGATCGTCGTTCCCAAATAGATTTGCTCGGCTTTCCTGAACAGTGTGACCATTTATTTGAGCAGTCATTTGCACTCAGGGGCGGCCACTCTTGCGATTCCTTTCCAAGTTTTTGGCTATGTTCCCTTGCGAGGCTTTGGCGACTCAGAGAGGGCTATGATTTTTTTTAAGGGACCCTTTGGTGGAAATCATTTAGGTGGGGATTCATGTCCACCAATCACTTTTGAGGTGGTTCCCAATTAAAATTCATGGCCATATGTATCCAGACATTGCTGATGATTCCACCGCTGTGGTGCTCAAGCTGCATGATCCGACTTCGTGCCAAAGTCAGAGCGACATTGGGCAACAGAGGGCCATGGGCGATGCATGTGGCTTGCGCGTGCTTCTTTCCGGGCTTGCTCGGAGACCGCGCGGCGAAAGCCCTCCAAGAAGGAGCTGACCATTTTGATCCAGCAGGCCGCAAGCGGCAAGGAGGTTCTCAACATCGTCCGCACTCATAGACTGGACGCCATCCATGCCGTGACCAGCTTGTGGCGGCTGAGCAAGCTCGAGGAGACCAGTTCCGCAGAGGTCGAGGAGATGATAGCTCTAGTGTCAAAGCATTTGGATCGGCCTGAGATGTCGGCTCGTGGGCTGAGCAACACCTTGGTAGCGCTGGCCTACATGAACGTTCTTCCTGACTCGGCCAGGTGGGTGTGTCTTTCTTGCGGGGACTCCCCGTTGGTGGTCTTCCTCGTGCTTTCCCATTCAAAACGCCAACAGGGTGTTTTTGTTGGGCGACTCCTCAAAATTTGGTGGTCTTCCTCGTGCTTTCCCCTTCAACCCACCAACAGTAGGGTGTTTTTGTTGGGGGACTCCCCAACATGGCTGCGGTCTTCCTCGTGGTTTCCCTGTGAAACCCACCAAACGCCGCGTCCATCTTCAGGTCGTTGGCCGAATCCGCGCTGCGGCGCCTGGCAGAGACGGCGGAGGCCAATTCGCAGGACGTAGCCAACGCGGCCTGGGCCGCCGCGCATCTCAAGTGCCATGGGCGACTTCTGCAGATGCTGCCGGCGGCGTGGCGGCGCGTCGGCGGCTTCACGATGCAGGGGCTCTCCAATCTGGTGTGGGCCTATGCCACTGTGCCGCCCAGCGGCACTCCTGCCGAGGAAGCGCAGGCAAGAAGACAACTGGAAGGACTCTTCGCGGCCTGTGCGAGAGCCGCGGTGCCGCAGCTGGGCGGCGCCAAAGTGCAGGAGATGTCAAACATGGCCTGGGCCTATGCCAAGGTAAGCATCGAGGCGCCCGAGTTGTTGGAAGCGATCGCGCTTGCCGCCGAGCCCAGGCTGGCAGACGCCAGCACCCAGAACCTCTGCAACCTTGCCTGGGCCTTTGCCAGCCTTGGCTGTAACCCAGTTGCCCAGTGGTGCCCTTTTTTCTCTTTTTCTTTGGGGAAGGGTTCCCTTTAAACTCAACCAACCAACAAAAAGGATGCCCTTTTTTTCCCCTGGCCACTGGGCATCTGAGGTAAGGATCGCCTCCTCTCTCGTGTGGCCGAAGAAGCCGAGAGGCATCTGCCGGACTTCAAGCTGCAGGAGCTCTCGAATCTGGCCTGGGCATCGGCCATGCTCAGGGTGACTTTGGTGCATTTGCCAAGGGATGTTAGGAGTTTAACATTTTTTGCCAACTCATGGTTTTCCATTCAACCAGTAAACTAAACGACTTCCTAAACCACTCAACTAGTGGGTGTTCCTTTAAGTTGTCCATTCAACCACTAAAAGCTAAACTTTTCGCAGGGGAGCAGAAAGCAACCGAGGTGAAGTCCAGGATCTTCCAGCTGGTGTCCCAAGAGTTGGTGAATCGGCTCGAAACGCAGGACTCGTCGTGCAACATCTCAAGCACCGTCAGGAACACCATGGGTCGCTTGAAAAGCAAAATCGACCTCTTTTTCATTTTTTTCTGACTTTTCGACCTTTTTCTTTTCCGAATTGTTGGTGCATGACTTTAGTCATCCCAAAAGGTGATCACCCTGTGTTTCCAGCTCCTTTGACCTGTTGGTTCGTAGGAAATGAGAAATGGAATGACCCCTATAAACCATCCATTTGCTTTCAAGGGATCCCCGAACGGTTCATTCCGTTTCTCATTCCCTACCGATCGCACCGATCGCAAGTGAATGTTGCACCAGTTTGTGTTCCTTGGGGGTGTCAATTTGGGTTTAGCGGGGATTCAGACCACTTCTGGAAACAACCCCACCCCCCAATAAACTGGGGTTGGTCCCAAAACACGTGATCGCCAGGTCCTGTTTTTTTCGGGGTGTCCATTTCTGGGCTTAGTGGGCATTCAGACCACTTGAGGGGCCAGCCCCCACCTTCCAGGTCCCTTGGCGCATTCTGAGGCGTGGTCTGGGCCGTGACCTTCGCAGGCGAAGAGCCGCAGCTGGCCGCGCGGGTGCGACCCAAGCTCTTGCAGCTGGGCCGCCAGCTCGACGCGCGCTCTTCCGGTCGACGGAGGGATCCTCCAGCTCAGCTCCTTCTATTTGCTTCAGAAGATGTTTTTTTAAAGGGAATCATACATATATATATATATGTATATATGTATGTATACATATATATATATATATATGTATGTATGTGTATATATATATGTATGGTGTTTTCCCTTAGAATCCTTTCTCTTTGGTTTCCTTTCTTGAACATGGAATCGATTTCACTACTGGACATAGTTCCCTTTTTTCCCAGGCGGCAAACGCGAAACAAACCTTGAAGGCTCGCCGATGCGGCTAATGCGCCAGTGGTGGTGCTGGAAGTGGAAGACCGCCTGGTCTTACAAAAGCCTCCTGGTTGGCAGGTGGATCAAGACAAGTTGCAGACCAAAGCCTCGCAGGGCGAGGCTTTGAGGCTCTCCTCCTTTATGCAAATGCGGCCGTACCCCATCTTCTCAGACATGGAGGCGTGCTGCGGCTTCTTGCATCGTCTCGATGTGCCCTGCTCCGGGCTCATAGCGGTGGCCAAGACCTACGAAGCGTATCATGACCTGTTGCTGCAGCTCCTCTGCCCAAAGCGAATCGACCTTCTCATGGTTGTCGTTGGGAGACATTTTATCGTTTTTGCTTCTTGTGGTTTAGTGGTGGAAATCCAACCACTTCACTGCTAAAAAACAAAAAAATGGCTCCCCAAACCCAACAAGTCAACCCAGTTCTGACCCTTGCGGTTTTCCAGGGCTGGACATTTTTGTGGTTACACCTTGGGCCCCCCAAAAGGGGATCGCCTTGCTTCGGTTTTTGGGGTCCCGGAATTTTGGAGCCCAGAATCAGCCCGAGCTCATAGGGGGGTGGGTGATTCCCTACTAAACCCAGGGACACTCCCTAAAAAACCAACTGGGGTCAACATTCACTTGCTGATGCGATAAGTCGGGAATGAGTAGTGGAATGAACCTAGGCTGTGGTCTCCTCAAAGGAAACCAACCGGTTATTTTTTTTTTCTCCGGGGTCACTCCCTTTCTCATTCCCTGCCAACTCTCGCTGAGGATCAACTCGGGGCAAATGGTTCGAGACTACGTCGTCCTCTGCCACGGCTGGGTGCCTCCAGAGACCTCGCGCATCACCGCGCCGCTGTTCTGGGCTGAGCAGACGCGCCTGCCCACGGAGGTGCGGCACTACGGCAAGCCGGCAACAACCAAGGTCAAGGTGGGGGGTGTCTCGATTTTTTCTTTTTGTTGAGGGTGCCTCCCCTTTTGGTTGGTTTCAAAGGGCAACTAAAAGAACAACCCACCTTGTTTTTTTTACTTGGGGGGGTCCAGTAAAGAAAGACAACCCCAGGTCATAGCGCATTGCTCCCGAGCAGTGGCAACTACTCCGGCTTCATTTCAAGCCCTCAGCTTCGTGGCCCTGCGCATTGTGACCGGGAGGAGACATCAGATTCGAGCCCACATGGCTCACATCGGGCATCACTTGGTGGGCGACGGGAAATATGGAAAACAAATCATCTTCCAAGACAAGGACTGGTGCCCCCGGACTTTTCTGCACCGATATTTCCTTGAGATGGAGACTTTGGAGGGCCGACAGCTGCAAGTGCCCGGGCCTCTGCCCGAAGACTTGAGCTCTGTCCTAGCTCAGCTGATTCCGCGGAATTCGGAATCGGAGCTCGCCTTGGAGCAGTGGCAGTCTGCCATGCCAGATTGGGACCAGTGCCAGGCGTTGCGCTGCAATTCGCAAGCCATTGAAGAGGGAAACAACTATATGTGTATATATATATATATATATTGGACCTATGTGTATATATACTACATAATGTATAAATATGTATATATATATATACACACACACATAATAACGTGAAGGTACATGCATCCGGGCACAAGACAACTGGCATGTAGGTCTATGTCTCCAAAGGTATCCGTGCAAACGAATTCGTCGGCGTGGGTTGAACGTCAGAAACTGGATCGCTGAGGATGGGACGCGGCGGCTGAGCCGGAGAAGCTGAAGAGTGGGGACGGGCGCTCGATTTGGCCGGGCTTTGGGGGTCGGGGTTCGGCTGCATGGGGGCCGGGCTGCGGGTTCCACTGAATTCAATTGAAGGGCCCACCTGTTTGGTATATATATATATATATATGTATTATTATATATACAAATATAAGTAGGAACCACATGTACATATGTATATATATATATATGTATTATTTGTTTGCTCAACTTTGCCACTGGCTGAAGCCCCCGAGTCCCAGGTAGAGATCCGTTTCCCGGCTGTATATATACATATATATATATATATATTTATATTGTTTGTTTGATCGACTTTTGTCTTCGAACTACAGAAGCTGCCTCTGGGTCCTAGATGTGTGGAGACCCTTTTCAAACGCTTTGAGTGGAACAGGCGAAGCCTCGAGTGGCCTGTTGGTTTCAGGAGCGCGAGGTCCTGGAGTTTGCCAAAGGTTGCGAAGCAGGCAGCGAAGCGGGGGCCGGGGCCGGAGTTTAAGGCAGGCGTCTCGTTCGGTTCGAGGTCTTTTTTTTGAGGGTGCGTTGGTCTGTTTTCAAGGGACACCGAAGGAACATGTCGATTCTGGGGGTCCCTTAAAAAAAGACAAACCCAGTTGGGCATGTGGGCGAGTCTGCCAACATGGCTTCGGTTTGCCTTGCTTCCTTTGAACCCAAACGAGGGGACCCTATAACAACCACACCTCTATTCAGGGAACCCTGGAGACGTTTTTCGGCATGAGCCCTCAAGATGCTGCAGGCATCTACTACGGATGGGCGCAGGTTGCAGATGGCAGCAGCCCCAGGTTCTGCGTTCCGCGCTCAGATAGAAGGTCAGGCGGTGAATATGTACCTATGTTACTGAAACATACCCTCTTTCCAGCAATCATGTAAGTGAACGAAAGGGTTTGAAAGACTAGCGTCAGCTTAGAAAGCCCCCGGGTCCACTTTCGTGATTGTGGACGACAGGGTCAACCAGAGAGCGATGGCCTCGGCGGTCGCAACAAACACCCTAGAGGCCTCGGCTATAGCCAACACGCCGCAAGAGCGGAGCCAAGCTCTTGGGATGGCAATGAATGGACCGGATGATCCACTTGGGTATGGGTCAAAATTAAACCACCAGGATATGGACCGCAGGTTTTGGTCCATGTTTCCACTTGCCAGGGTTCCATTTTGGGTACCTATTTTTGACCCACGGCCACCCAGCTCTAGTAGCTGAAGATTATGAACTATTTCATCTTGGGATATGCTACATCATGAATCAAGTTGTCGCATATGCGGTAGGTGAGCGATATGTGCCGGGTCACATGGTGCGGGGTCAATTCTTATCAAGGCGCGGGCTATCCGTGCCTCGTGCTGAGAGAAACATGAGGTTGGTTCTGCCTCAAGAAACTACTGCGCTGGTTTTCTGGGGATTTTGGGAAATGACATGGGTGTATTTTGTTTGAGGGTACCGATTTCACCAAACCAAACCAACAGGAACACGGTGCCCAGTGTTTTGACACATACTCAAATCCACATTTGTGGTGCCACTGAGAACTTGTCTCCCGATGAATCTCCGCAATGGCAGTAGTTCGAAGCATCCCCCGACTCCTGCAGCCCTGGCGTTTGGCAGTTGGGCTCCAGGTTTGCAGCATACGCATGGCAACTTGTAAGCCCAATACACGCGCCCCTTGAGACATCTCCCATCAATCTGAGCAAGGGCAGTGTGGAGCACATGGTGAAGTTGAGCCTTTTTTGATTGTGATGTTTGTCATTGCTCCAGGAAGCGGGTTGTGCATGTGACTTGTTTCTTTGCATCCAGAAGAGCCAGCAATCTGTTCTCAGGCTTCATGAATGCGACGGAGCGGCCAGCGTTGTGAGGCTACATGAACTTTACTGGGGACCTTTTTTACAGGTTGGACATGAATCCCCAAATGTTCAAATGTCCGGGACCAATTAAAATATTACACTGATATGTCTCGAAACTTCCTGAGGGATCTCTTGTGTTGTTTGAGTGTGTCCTGCTTTCTTTGGCAACTGAGGTAGTGATCGTGGTGTGTACAAGGCCGGCGTCAGGTTCTGCCTAACAGATATGGCCTCCCTTCCTCCAGTTTCCTTTTTGGAACCTCCAAAAGGGGGAATCGTTTCAATGGAAACCACCTGCAAATGGATCAACTTTTGAGGGGGACATCCCTTCGCGACCCCGGTCTTTTCAAATCACGCTTCAGCACTGGGACCCGTGGCTGCCGCAAGCAAAACAATGTTCACATTGCGTGCCAAAGGGCAGACTCCACTCGGCCGGCCTGTCGGCCAGAATCAATCCAGGTGAGATGTTTCAAATGGGTGGCTTGTCTTTGATGGAGTCGGTACCCCTTTTGTGGCAATGGCACAGGGGAAGCCAAGGGGTCCCCCAAAAAGACACGCCCAAATCAGAGCTCCAAAAGGGTGAGGCACGCCTTCATTCTGGCACTTGTTGTTCGAAACAAGAAAGGACGTGATCAAATCAATAGCGACATGTGGAAAAGCGGGATTCGCTTCGAGAAGGGCCGGTTCCCTTTTCTTGCTCCCCGAATTTTAATCGATATGATCGATTAGTGCTTAGAAGTTGGTTTTCTAAACCATATGCCAACCAAAGCATTTTTGCAAAAGGCCACCCACGGCAATAGCTTTGATGGTGTTGGGGTCGCTGCTTGAAAGGAATGAAGATTGCTTGGAGACAGCAGTCTTCCTTGCTCCCGCCAGACGGCCATGAGCGTCGGATGGAATCCCACCTTCCCCGACGTGAAGGCAACAGCGGGTTCCGCCATGTGCCAACATGGGACGGTATACGGGAAGGCACCCATAATACTATATGTATTTATATATCCAGTTATCCTTGAAACAGCTCCTGGGTTTGGGACATGGATACAATCAGGCTTTCTGCTCATTATTGTAACCTTTGCTACTTACATCAATCACTTGTGGCCTCAAACATCAGATGCTGGGATACCTTCATATCGTGACGGAACACCGAGCTGACAGGGCGTCTTTCCAAGATAGAAGTTGCGTCCATGGAGAGAGATGTTATCTAAACAATCATGGCCGAAGCGATGCATAGCGGGTACTTTTCCATGCCTAGCAGACAACACACGTCTGTGCTAGATTTTGGGAGAAAGATGGGAGTCAATACGGGCGGAAAGGCCACGGCCGACAGCTCTGCACCAAAAGGGCCGCTGACGCTGTCCCGAACCGTGCAGCATTTTTTGCGGGGTGCCGCTCGGTTGAATCCATTTAGCGTCACCAAAACCCTTACCAAGGAGACGCTGTACCCAAGTTATCACGGTCATCTCTTCATGTGGGAATTGTCCACTTATATGATACCATCAGAAGGCCTGATTATTCACAAAGGATAGGTTTCCTTGCATCGTAGGAGTGTGTTTTTTGTATTCTCATTCCCAGTGCCCAACGGTCACAGGCTCAAGCGTCAAGCATTGTAGCTCGCTCATGAAAATCATCCGCAGGGGCTGAAGCTGATGAGGGAGGGAGAGAGAGAGAGAGAGAGAGAGAGAGAGAGAGAGAGAAAGAGAGAGAGAGAAAGAGAGAGATGGGTTGTTTGAGAGCAAGCAAGCTGGGCCTGGGACAGGAGTCACGCGAAAGCCCTTCGCACGTGTCTGTGCGGATCGGAAAGTCTGTGCTGTTACATTACGCGCGCGATAGCCAACGGATGGACTGACCGTGCGCAGCAGAATGGTGGAGACCTCTTACGGAACACGCCTCATGAAAAGGTGGCCTCATGAAAAGGTGGCCGCATCTGCTCCATGGCTTTGCAACATTTCGACGCCAAGACCAGCTCATCGGGCCTTTTTTGTTGCCAAAATCAGATTTATTGAGGCTACACCGTTCGTGGGGGTCTTTTGGCAGGGGTGCCTTGTCAAGGACCAACATGGGTGGGAACCCTTTTGAGGTTGGTTGGAAGGGAAACACAAGGCAACCTTAAAGCCCATTTTTGGAAGTCTCCTTTTGACACGCTCCGCTGAACTGCAGGCCAAAACCATCGAGCCCTGGATCCTGCACGACTTTGCAGCTCGGCGACTGGAGGTGGCCAATGGGCGGACAATGAAAAACCACCAGCACCCCAGAGGGGAAGACGACAATCGAAGAAACTGGTGTGTGTTGAGGGGGTGGTGTGTGTTGAGGGGTGGTGTGTTTGGGGGTGGGAGCAGTTGTTTTGGCAGAAAGCCCAAGGGGGAGTTGAGCATTAGGTGAGTGCGCGATGGCAGCTTACTCCGACGCTTCGGCACAAAGGATGAACTGGGCGGGCTCGTGCGGAAATGCTTGGAAGCCGATTGGGGCAAGTCCAACAATTGACAGCCTACTTTGGTTGGGAAGGAAAACCGACATTTTGTGGTGGTTCCCGAAGTGTCAACTAGTTTGTCACATACAAACTCACCCACAAGCGCAAGCTCCCCACCCTTAGTTCAGGGCTCGGCATTTGACCCCCGTTTTTTGTGGAACATTCGATGATTCGGAATCTCCTGAAATACCCAGACATCTCAGAAGTTATCCTGGACATGCCAGCGTTTCAGGCAAGCTTGCATATTTTCCAGATGTTCATTGCTTGGAAGAGCGCTGCACGCCTTACAAGGCCTCAACACTCTGTTCTGTTCAGATGTCCTTTCATCAGGGATTTGAGCATCACAGAGAAGATTAGCCGTGCGTTAAAGGGGACATATGGGCGTGTCTTTTTTGAGGTTACCCCTTTTGTTTGTGGTGTTTTAATGGGACACCAAGAGGACAACCAGGATCCGCTTAAAAAGACTACGGCTCGGACCCCTCTTGTCACAGGAATCAGTTGCCCTCACCAGCCGGCGCTCCTGACGAACGCCCAGGCAGAAGACTTCTACGACTGCGAGCTTCGGCTCATGATCTGCGGCTTTGTGCGGCCTGAGACCGGGGGACCCAGGAGACTGGAGCCGTGGGTCTCTTCTATGCGGAAAAAAAGACACATGGCAAATCACCTCGTCAGGTAAGGTGGCTTCACCTTCGATCTGCTCGAACAAAAACGCTCTTGTTTTTTGGTTAAAGCCTCTGCAAAGTCAGGCATCGCCATTCTTGGCAAGTCGTTTGGAAGGCTCGTGGCCAGTGAAGAACGTCTTTGCCTGAGGCCCGGAAAGAGTTGTGCTGAACACGAGGTAAAGATCAAGGTACCCAGCCACTTCTTGTAGCGAGCCACTCCTAAGCAAAAGCCATTGCTAGTAACAGCAAAACGGCCGACCGCTTGAAAGTTGCATCGCACATTGAGATTCAGGGCTCAGTACCATTTTGACGAAGCCCTTTAAGGTCCATTTCACTCGTAGTCTGGAAACGGTTTCAAAGATGCTCTTCTTTTTTTTGTGCATCCAGGAAGTACAGGCTCTCCTCTATTGGTACCTAGCTTCCAAACCACCCAAACACCAATTGGGAAGCTGAAATTTGCCATAATGTTGACCCCGGAGAAAAAAACACAAAAAACAGTTTACTACTAGGGTGTCGGATTCTGGCTTTGGTGCGGAATCATGCATCACTTTTGGAGGGGCCAAGAACCAGCCCCATGTTCATGAGCAGGGGTCTATTGATCCAGGGTCGTTGCCCGAAACTCTCGGCCCCCAACCCAAAACCGACTCGAGGGCCAAGTTCGCGGACTTCAAGGACCTCATCGTGGCCATCCGCGAGGAGCGAGGGAGCTGCGGCTCAACATGGGCTGGAACCCCGGTGTCCTTTGGGTTTCCCGGGAAAAAAAAGGAAAACATTAAATCATAGTAGTAGTAGTAGTAATAATAATAATAATAATAATAATAATAATAATAATAATAATAATAATAATAATATTAATAATAACAATGATAATGATAATCATAATAATAATTATAATAATAATAATAAAACGAAAACACAGAAGAAGGCAGCCTAAAAAGAATACAACCTGGAGTCTCCAAAATGGGGGGGCACATCAAAGTCATGAGTATATCACCTCCACCTGCAAGGGGGGCAGAGAGACTCAGCGCACTCGCTTCTTCCAAGACCTTTTAGCCTTTTGGAAAGGTTCACTTTTGATTTTCCTTTTCCTGGTAAGTTCGCTTATTGTTCCTGCTCCGTCCCATTTCCACTTCTTACTGCATTGGAATTGTTGCACGTCCGTCTCGTTCAGCCAAGCCAACTCGGCTCAACCTGAGCCCCAGAGTCTCAGGGACTCCTTCAACCCCCGTGACACGAGAAACGCTGCATGGAGAACCGACGCCCTAAACGGACCAAGGGGTGGTTTGAAGACATGGTAGTCGGCTGCGGAGGCCGAGTGCTGTGGTCGGCGCACCTCCTAGGATGGTCAAAGAAAATGAGCCAACCCTGAAGCTTGGCATATGTGTTTCTCAGCATGCCGAACGCCCTCTCTGTGTTGGTTTCACCGGTCTGGCAAACGCTCACATAAGAAAAGCCATTTGTAAACCTTTCCGGAGAAATCAGGGGTTGGATGGATCCCTCTGATTCGCGCGAACAGCTGTTCCCTTGCACTGGCAAAGAGTGGACAGAGAACACATCGCATTTGACATCTTTGAACAGATTTGTGGGATAGCCAGACCTTTAGAAGTCTTGACTTTACTTTAGAGGGATTAAGGACTCCAGGAGCAAGGGATCAACGAACTGTTAAGATGAATCGTCTGCATATGGGTCTACTTATAGGGGATCCCTGCCCAAAAAGCAGAAGTTGACATAGTTTTCCTTTGGTTTCCCTTCAAGCCAAGCTTTAAACGGCTCCCGCAAAGGGCACCCCCACGTTGCTCAGAGTGATTCGCCGAGTCCCTCTCGACTGGCAACGGAAAGTTTGCGCTGCGTTCCATCCAAATCCTCCGTTCCCCCCCAGGTGTTGAAACACCAAGCAGAGGGGTCGTCGGAAATTTGGGAGCAGCCAAGCTTCAAAGGAGAGTGCCTTTCTTTTAGGGGACACCCCCCCAAACGCTTCCATTTTGGGGCTTTCGGTGCACCACTCATTTTAGAAGCTATTTTAGTTGGGATTGGGATGTTCACTGGGGGTACGATTTGGATTTTGTCCCATGGCCCAATGGAATTATGTTTTCCTGCCGCTCCAGAGGGGCGCGAACTCAGAAAAGGACAACCCCCGAATCACTGAAGTGGGTTAGCTATTCCGCGGGACCAACGTTCCCTCACTTGTGTTCATGGTTGTCACCTACCCAGTGGATGCATCCCCAAAAACCAGAAGAAGAAAAGTGAAGGGCACGCCTGTGGGATCCACTGGCACGCCCGGGATCTGGGAAGGGCAACCCCCCCTTTAAAAAAAAAAAAAAACATGACAAGCCCATTTTGGGAACCATGGAACTCGGTTTTCCCGTGGGTTTCCCTTTTTTTCCCCACCGCTCCCAGCCCGACAACGACCCGACGTGTCCCCGATCCAGGACGGAGACTTCTGCCGCGAGGCCCTAGAGGAGCCGAGCCTCCTGTCGCTCAAAACGGACCCGCCCGGAGACTCGGCGCTGCGAGCGCTCGAGCGAGCGAGGCGTGGTTTTGGTGGGGCCAATCCTTTCGGTGTCTGAAAAGGGCGTCGCTGAAGAAAAAAAAGGTTTTGGAGCCTACATGGTGGGTTCCTCTTTGCCCGGCAAAACACCGCACCAACACCTGATAGAAAATGGTGTTTCTTCCAAAGCTTGTACCTCTCTGGGTGGTTGGTTTCCAGCCGAAAAGGGGGTCCCTATTTTGAGACCTAAATTTGGCGGATTTGGGGCGCTCAGATGCAGCCTATTCCCCGACCTGCGAGTTGGGCATGTGTTTTTTGAGATATTCCGGCATGGAGTCAGCTTCGGCTTTCTCCCATTGTGTGTGTGTGTGTGTGTGTGTTTGTCGGCCAACCCTTGTACCGATCTCTGCACATTGCGGCAAGGCGTATGGCGTATGTTGGGCTCGTCTTCTCGTTCACAAGTTTGGCCAACGCGAGCATCGGCGGCGATCCTCAAGCCTGGCATGAGGGATCCGCATGAGTTCTAGAGTGAGAGTTGCAAATGCGACTTTCTTTGTCGCCTGTCGGGAAAGCAAAATTCATGCCCAGATCGTATCATTTCCTCACCCAGATCGTCATGTGGGGCTTCCTTCCACAAGTTTGGGCGGCGCCCCTTAAACACACCACCGTTCAATAAACAAGAGGCGAAGCTAGGGGACCCGGGGATGCGAAGAACGAAACCAGAAGGCCAACAAACCAATGAGGGGCACCCCCAAGGAAAACCACCTTGCCTTGGAACAAATGCTTCGTTTGAGTCACAGCCGCGGGTATTGGCTTCTTGGACCTGAGGTTTTTCTCCTGACGCCTGAGCCAACAGCTGGACCGGAGGGCTTTATTCCTCTGCTCCGACTGGGGTGGTGCTTCTTGCCAAGAGGGGGTTTCTTTTTCAGGTACCTTCTTTGGTGGTTTGCATTGCTTTGGATCTGACTTTGAACCCTTTTTTTTTTTTATCGCGTGAATGGGAAACCCCCAACCTTCAAACCACCACAACTAGAGGGAAGCGGATTTTTGGTTGGACCCTGTGACCCACCCGGAGATCCGAAGTCTGAGCCGGGCGGGCAGCCAAATGGAGCGTGAGCAGCCACGAAAGCTGAAGAAGCAGCCGCAGTAGCGACGAAATGCTGTATGCGAAAAGTGTTGGTGTGACTGTCACATGCACCTTTGCTTCTAATTGAACAGTATCACGACCTGAACTCTTCAAGAGCATGTTGCCCGAACCAGCCACGTGCGAACCAGATCCGAATACCGGCAGCCGGGTCTGTTTGAGTGTCTTGCACCGCCGCACGAAGTTCACACTGATCCAAAGTGCAGTACTCAAACGCCGCGCAGATCTAGCCATGAGTGTTAAGAGTCGGAATTTTCCTGTCCAAAGTGGCGGACACGAATCCCAAGTGATCGGACGTCTTATTGAAATTCACACCCATCTATGTGCAAGATCTGCAGTCATCGCTGTACTGGCGAACCTTGCGGAACAAAGGATGTTGCGCCAAGCAATCACGTATGGTGGGATGTTGTTCCAAACATCCAGCCATTGCCCGGAGTTCCCCCTTTCTGTCACCCCGGAGAACCCCGGATTCATGGTTTTGCGGGTTTCTTGGGGTGAACATCTCAGCTAGGAGAGTGAAGGGAGGGCGAATCGGTATACGCTTTGTTCCGTTCTCCTGGCTTTTCTGAAAGCTTTGGTTGGCTTGCGCCTTTCGCACTGTCAACACCTAAACCTACCAAGTCCAGTCCAGGCGAGTCGAATTTCCACGGCGATGGGTTCAAGCGTGTACATGAAATGGGTGACTCAAAGTGTTTTAATGCTTTTTTTTGTGTTTTTTTCTTTCTAATTTTCTTTGAACCCACCCCCAAAGTTGGTCCACCTTGGTTTCGTTGGGGCTCCGATATGTTGCTTTGCCGCAGCAACGAAGCAGCGCGACGGCCGGCCACGCGCGACGGCCGGGTCGGTCGCGCGAGTCGGCGGGCGCATGGCCGGGTGAAGGCAGGCGGGACTGTCTGGCATTTGCCCCGCCCCTGTTTGTTTCCTTCCATTTGCTTAAGAATGCGCATTTTTCCCAATGTTGTTGTTTCTCTAGAGAATCTATCTCTATACTGGAAATATCTTTTTACGTTGTCCAGGGGACTGAAGCCAAATGGACGTGTCTTTAATGCTATTGGGTCGCCGCGGATTGAATGACCCTGGTTGACTTGCCGGTACTGGCGGTAAGCCCAAAAAGGCAGCAATACGTGCCCTTGTCATACCAGGTATGTAGGAGGTGTGTAAATTTAGCGGATTCAGGGCCTATCGTCAGGCACATTCAAGACCAGTTTTAGATCTCTATTTGTATATATCTACCTTGCATACCAATATTTATGTACACATTGAGATGTATACAAATATACACATATGCAGATGCGTGTGAATACATATATATATATATACACATGCACAAGCATCTATTTATCAGCAGTTCCAACGCTGGCAAGACTTGCCAACTTCAGTCATTCCGTAGAAAACTGGCGCCTCGTGAAACTGATGGCTTGCAGGTTTGCTCCTCCATCCCTCCCCTCCATCCCTCCTTCCATTCCTTTCCTCCGTCCCCTCCCTCCAGGTGCGTCCTTGGGGGCGCGTCCTTGTTTGCGGGGACCCCCGAAATAGTGGTTTTCCTCGTGGCTTTCCCTTCAAAACCACCGAAAAGAAGATGTTTTCCCCTGTGGTTTTCCCTTAACCACTGAAGACATGTTTTCCTTGTGGTTTTCCTTCGAAACCACCGTGCCCGCACACGCCACGACCGCTTTTTTTAGATAACGCCTCGCTCGTAGGCGAGCCATGGTGAGGCCGGGATCGCTTGATCGCTCGACCTGAGTGCTGAAAGAGAGCCCCGCATGTCTCCCATTTTTAGTGGGCGGCTCGTGTCTTTTGGTTGGAACCCCTGTTTTTTTGTGGTTCTCGGTTTTTGTTTGGTTGGACCTTTTTTTGGGTTGGAACCCCCTTCTTTGTGGAAATCAAGCCGAGCTGTTGGGAGGTCAAGTGAGTTTGAGACATGCAAAAGGAGTGACGGCGCAGCGGTGAGCGGGCACGGCCGGGATGTCCGACGACTTCGTTGGCCCGCACCGGTTTTCCGAAGGGTTCGATATATCGCACGGGGCACAAAACTGCATGGCAGTTGGTTGCAACATGAGACTAAGCCATGGATTTCGGAACGTTTTGCTCCACATACACGGGGCTGGACTTTGTGGAATTGGGGCGTTGCCCTACCGTGACATGCCCGAGTGGAGCGAATGAAGCTCATTTTTTGCGTATTCATACACAATGCCGATTGGTTCCAGACCTTCTTGCCGGGCGCTTGGGCTTGAAACGAGATGCGCCAACCATTCATTTGGCGCACTAGACCCCGGAAAAAAAAAGTAAAAATAAAAAATAAAAAATAAAAACGCTGGATGATTATCTCAAGTCAGGCTTCGCCAGCTCGCGAGTGGTTGTGTGACATCCTGGGACCTGCGGCTTGAATTGGGGTCAGAGAAGATCAGCAAGGAAAGGTCTCCAGCTCCTCTTTTCCAGGTGGCTTCCATGGGCGCTCGCCGCGACTTCCCGCGGCGTGGCCGTGCGTGTGTCGAAACACCCGGTGGCGCTGGTCACTGATCTGCTGCAGCAGCTGCAGGCGAGAGCCTCGGAAATGGCCCGAGTTCCCAAGAAGCGGCTCAAGTCCATGAACTCGGGAAGTGAGCGTAAGTGGTTAGCAACCGTAGTCAAAACCATGGCAGGTGGTTGGTATCCTGGCTAAATGGTGAGCAACCCTGGTTACCGCCCACTTGCCATGGTTGTAGCCAAGGTTACTAACCATTTTGCGAAGTCCCAGACCATCTAAGTGCGAGTTGGGCGAAAAGACGGGGCGTTTCTCAAAGGCCAGGAGGTACTGCGATCTTTGCTAGGGAAAGACGGGTATGTCTCAGGAACCAAATCCTCCAGGTTGGTTTCCAATCCAACAGTCCAAGCAGCGTTCCCCCATCTTGTGAAACGACACGGCAACAATTCTACCCATCTACTTGCATGGTGTCCGCGTTGATCCCTGTAATTTGCCACCAGTTGCTCACTCTCCAAAAGGGTTCCTTTTGGGAAGCCCCCAAGATCGTCGGCTTGGATTGTTGGACACTGGGTACCCCTTTTTCTCGAATAGCTCTTTCCCTTCCTGTTTGGTTCAGGTTGTACCCAGTATGGTGTCAATCCGGAGGTTGAGGGATGCTTGCTCACCGGTGTTTTGAGCAGTGCCATTCCAATCAGGGCCACTAGTTTTCACAGCTAGCTGATGAGTCTAGGCTTCACAAATGATGTGGAAGCAGCATTTCATGAAACCTACTTGGGGCTGCATTTTTTGAGGGTACCCTTTTTGGTGCCTGGCTGTCCAAAGGTAAACTATTTTGGGGGTCCGCCGTTTTTTTGACTCAATTTCAGCTGAGCATTCAGTGGCCCATTGAGAAAGCTTGGGCTGAAGATTGGGTCATTTTGAAGCCCAGGCTTCAGTGTGATTCTTCTGGGGTCAACGCCCACCGGACCAATCTTTTGGAGGGTCTGGTTGATTTTGGTCTGGTTGCTCAGCCAATTTTGCCAAACTCCCTGCACGTTTTTCCTCGACACATCACCGCCTGGAGGAAACTCCCAGTCAACCCACCGTGACCTGCAGGTTGTCCTTGTTTGGAGCCTAAGGATGGTCATTGCTTCCGAGGTGATTTTAGGTTTTGCAGTAAGAATCCCAATTCAAGCAACCATGACCACACACATATAGGTGGCTCGTCTTCTTTGTGGATATCCCCTTTCGGGTTGAAATGGACACCAAGAGGAAACCGCCCATTTTGGGGGGTCTTCTAGAAGGCCGAGCCACATGTTGGGACTTCTATCTATGGCTCAGGTCTGCGAGAGAAGCAAACCTTTCACCAGTCGAGTGTTGAGGGAATCTCCGCAGTTTGACCGCTCCGCCGTAACGAAAAAGTAACGTGGAGTTTGTGCATAATACTGTAGTAGTGAACGTTCACACCCCACCTCAAAAGTTGATGTCCTGTCCACCAAAAGGTTCCTTCTTGAAATCCCACCAAAGGCGCCTAGTTTTCCGAATTTGTGTGTGTGTTTTGGAGGGCCCTTTCAACTCAGCAACAAGAGCGGCTTTCTTTTTCCCATGAAAATCCACTGGCGGTCTGGTTGAACTTCCAACCGTCACCCTGGTACTTCAAGTTCTACTCTTTGCTTTTCCCGGTAAAAGTAACAAGCAAACGCCCCAAGAGTCAGAGCTGCTCGCCGATTCCCGGGACCTTCCCTCCTTCCCTTCCCGCGTTGACCGCTTCTCGGGACCTCCGGAAGGCGCTCGGAAGGTTTCTCGTGTCGCGAGGGCAAGGTGGAGAAGCAGGGCGAGGACGAAGCCACGCTTTGGGATCAGCTGTGGGGACGCTCAACACATCTGGCGGTGGTCTAAATTTAAGGCCTGGAAAAACCGGTGTTGGTCTTTGTTTCCATCCAAAAAAGCCGGAAAAGATGGATCCCCCAACTTGATTGAAAACACATCTGGCTGTGGTTGTCAAAACCGTTTTGGTATCCCATTTTGGTGGGTAGGTGAATTCACCACCCATTTTAGAACCTATTTTAGTGGTTGGATTGGGATGTTCACTGGGGGTACGATTTGGCTTTTGACCCATGGCCATCTGACGGGCGTTGAGTCGGGTGTGTCCACGGGGTCGATTCAAGAAATGACCGTGGAGAAACCTGGCCGTTAAGACGGCCCGCCTTGGCGAGTTTTGTGGGAAAACGTGGGGGTTTTGTTTGAGGGCAAGTATGCACCCTGTTTCAAGGGGAAAAGGGACACCCATTACAGAAAGAAGATTGGTTTTCAAGTTTTTGTCAATTCGGAAAGCTCAGACCCAGGTCGCCCAGGTGGTTTTCTCCGCTACCCAGATTTTGCGTCGACGCCGAGGCAATGCAACTGCCGGGACACGGCCAAGTCGCTGCAGCAGAGCATCGAGGAGGAACAGTCCAGGCGCGGGATGCGGGATGGTCATCCCGAAATCGAGGTGCGGCCGCTGCCTGGCCCAGGCTTTTTTTGAGACCAGCCGGTTTTTTGTTTTTGTTTTACACGGAAACCGAGAAGAGAACCGAAGCCATTCTGGATGATCCCTGAAAAAAGACACCCAACTTCTGGTTGGTCAAGAAAGGCTGTGGGAACCTTACGGGCGTTTTCCTGAAAGGCTAGGGATGGCTCAGTGTGGTGTAATCGTCCTCAGCGCGAAGAAATAGGTTCAGATCTTCAGGTGTATAATGTAAGGATCCCTGCTGTCTCGAGAGTCAAGATGATTCCGTTCGACAACAACCGTGCCCCTGCAGAGTTTGGATGCGGCTTTGAACAAATACAGGGGCTACTTTGGTGGAGATGTGCAACTTCAAGTAAGGAGTCTATACACTTGTCCGCAGCCACGCAATCACCCAATCACCCGCACACTAGCTGACTGTTCGATCCAAAACTAAAAAGAAAACTGATAAACTTTGACCCATGGAAGTGGTATACTAGCAAAAGGCAACTGGTATACAGCATATGGGGGAAAATCAGACCATTTTGGCACAACAATTCGGCATAATCATGCCATGTACGTGTTTACCATAAACCAAGAATTGGCCATAAAACCATGCGCATTTCAGTGCCCAGTGTTTCTCAGATGCTTCACATGTGTTTCTAGCAAACACATGAGAAGCATGTGAGGAGCACAGAGCCATTATCCGCAGACTCATGCACATCCAGTATCATTGCTACACACATGAGGGTTGGTAAGTTGCCTGCATAGCTTCCACACATGTGCGTTGATTAAGTGCTTGATATGGCTACAATACAGTGAGCATTGGGTGGGTAGGCACTATGGTTGTGACACACATGTGGTGCGTTGTTTGCCCTCATTGGTTACATGTGTGCTTCTGTGTGTGCATGTTCATATTACTGAGAAGATTGACATGTGCTTCTGACATGAAACTCCTGTGCTGAAGAGCTGAGCACAGGAGTGGCATGTCCAAAGCACATGTTACATGCCAACATGGAACATGCCCTGGCGCAAGCAGCAGCTGCAGCGGCTTGCCCTGCAGCATGAGGAGGTCTGCCTGGCGCATTTGCGAGTACAGCTGCATGGTTCAGAGCGCATGGCTTCTTATAATTATTAGACACCTCCAAAGGTTGTGCCAGGAAGGGCCACAGTTTTGCTATTTAAGCTTTGATGACACATTGGGGGAGTAGCAGGGCCACATGGAAAGGCATGGCATTGAAAGGGGGCCAATGCCACGCCAGGCAAGGCAGAGCTACTGCCTGCGCAGTGCTGAACTCAGAGAAATCATCAACTGTGAGTTTGCTTGTTGGTGCAGTGGTCCAGTAAGCCACTGGAAAACTTTACCACTGGACCACTGGACCATCTTGCTACCCAGTAGGCACTGTTGCATAACCCTAGTGTCGATGGGGCCTGAAATGGCTTGATCTTGAGGGTCCAAGGGTCTTGAGGAGTCGTGACCCTTACAGGATCTGCCAGAACAGGAAAACCAAGGGGAAGCCAACACCAACCTCCTCTTTTTAGGGAGGGGGCACTGTGATTTGCTAGCAGATCACATGGCGTGGGTCAAAACCCAGAGCACCACTTTTATTGGGCAGCACCCCTTTGCTTGGTCCACTTTGAGAGAGCTTGCGGGGAGTCAGAGGGGTATGAGGATCATTGGACCCTCCATTAGGGTGTTGGGGGTGTCTGAATCCATCATTCTTGTCCCAAACCTCATTTACTGACCCCAACTCCTGGCACTTTGTGAAGGCCCTTATATTTTGGGTCTCGGGCTCCTAGTAGGTATCCAATATGTTCTTTTGGTTTTCATATTGGGTGGCATGCCCTTGGACACCTGCCCTTACCATGGCTGAAGTTTGCTTCAAGTATCACGTGGGAGGAGAAAACAGGGCGCTCTGCACTGGGCTGAAAGTGGCAATATATGTAAACCACAGGGTCAAGTAAACCAGCTTCAACAATTTCCTCAGACTCAGCAAGCTCATGGAGCATCCTGGGCCAGCGTTGGCCCCCCTTCCCCCGGCCCAGGCCTCTGCATGGACTATGGCAAGCTGACCAAACCTCAGAGTGCATGCACGCACAAGATGAGTCTTGGTCACAGTGAGGGTGTGTTTCTGCAGCCAGCATGGACCCTACCTGTAAGGAAACACTTCTTTGCTTAATTAATGAGTGGGGCGCACTTTCTGTGACGTAATCGTTTTGCAATAGCAGCGTGTCATAAAGAGTGTCCAGGCAATGAGAGGGCAGCAGCATGCCAGCATGACTGACAATTCAAACATGACGAAGCCCGGGCGGGCCTCCTCATGCTTGCATTGCGCAATCATGTTTGAGTGCATGGCTGACACTATATGACTCCTATGCACCACAGCTATGTGCTTGAGTCTGAGTGGTAGACTTGTTGAAAGCAAATAGCTTGTGGCATAATGCCAGTGTATGACAGACATGTCAGACACGTGTGAGAACGTGTGGGTAACATATGCAAAAGTATGAGAAATGTGTGAGAAAGTATGTAGCATATTTGATGACACATATGAGAGACGCATGAGACACATCTGAGAAACATATGATAGCAACTATGAGACGCGCATGAGAAAATATGACAAACTGTGAGAAATATGAGAAATATGAGAAACTATGAGAAGTATGAGAACATATGATAAATCTGAGAAAATATGAGAAGCTATGAGAAATATGAGAAAATATGAGAAACTATGAGAAATATGAGAAACTATGAGAAACTATGGAATGTATGAGAAAATATGATACAATATGAGAAATATGAGAAACTGTGATAAATATGATAAACTATGAGACATATGAACAATATGAGAAACTATGACAGACATATGAGAGACATGTACATGTGTTAGACACATACAAAAGTGCGGGGGACATGAGGTGCCTGTCAGAGCACGTTGCATAAGTGCGAGACATTATGAGGAGCAGTGCATGCATGAGATAAGCATGCATATCGTGTGGCTGCTTTATGCCCCCCTTTGGCTTGCGATATGTTCATCACGTACTTCTCACTTGACAGTGTCACTATTGAACACGGTGTTTGCACTGCACTGCAAAGCTCATGAGGGGACCTGACAAGAGATGCAACTATGGGAAGTGTAGCATCTCACACTTGCATTTCTTCTCACTTTTCCCTTATATGGCAGCGGCCCTTCCCTGTGCGCATCGGTTCCGCTTTCCAAGGCATAGCTGAGGAGCACAGCGAGATGTTCTGAGAGGCTGGGGTGGGCAGCATGCAGGTCTAGTGCATGATAGCATGCGCACTTGAAGAGAGTTGAGGTGCAGCCTGCAACTAAATTGCCTGCTATTTGGCCCATGCTGCAGCAGCTCTTTTTTTCTGCAAGGCACTCATCAGCAAACAGCAGGCACTCAGCAGGCACAGCAGCTCAGCACATCTACCCCCCTTCCGACAGCCATGGTTGTTTGCCTTTTGCCGGGGAGAATCTCCTTGGAGTGCCTGGCGGCGTACCGAGAGCTGGCGCAGCGGGAGAACGTTGAGCCTCCCTGTGAGCCAGGACCCTGCCCTTGTCCTGCCCAAACTGCACCCAAGGCTTGGCTAGTGTGTGATTCTGTTACATACAGGGCGCCCTTTGTGCTTTGCAGTCTCCCCTGTGGGTTGCCCGAAGGACGCCTGCCGGTGAGGGTGACGCCTGACTTTATCCCGGTGCTGCTGAAGCCAGTACCAGCTGGGCGACTTCAAGCTGTCACCTGGCGACAGGGGCTGTTGACTTTTGAGCCAGCCCTCCTTGCCTGACACTCAAACCCTGTCCTATGGCTGAGGAAGAAGTCATCCACAGGCAGCTCCAGGAGTGGTTGGAGGAGAATTGGAGAGAGGTGATGGAGGCTTTTGAGCAAGAGAACAGTCCAATTGAGCCAGCCTCCGCCCCAGTGCTTCCAACCAAGGATCTAGTGGATCCAGTGGATCTAGCGGACACAGTCAGGGACTTCCATCCACAGGATCCAGCCACCCCAGAGCCAGAGGATCCAGATCCAGCCACTTAGTGGAAGTGGACCTAGTCCGTGACTGCGACGCAGAGGATCCAGTGGATCCAGAGCATCCAGCCGACCTAGTGGAGGATCCAGCCACCCCAGATCCAGTGGATCTAGTTGATCCAGGCAGTGATGATGATGATGATGATGCCACTTCAAGGGCAGCACCAAAGATAAGACCCCAGCCCAAGCCCATGCCAAAGCCACACAAAGTCAAGGCTGGGGGGTCCAGAAAATAAGCATATTGCTCTGCGGGGTGAGTGTGGCCGCCAAATCCCTGATGCGCAGGTCTATTCAGCTGGTCTAGCTCAGCTCTCAAACAAGAAGACCTATGCCATGTTTGATCTGGTGATCCCGCTGCATGCCTTCCACGATCCGGCGAGGGACACCAGGCACATGGGCACGAACCCCGTCATTCAGCTGAGGATTGCCCAGCATCCCAAGTTTGCTGTCATGCTGCCCCCTGGCTTCAGAGCTTGCTGGCGCGGGTTTCAGTCAGACGAACCTTTGTCAAACTTACTTGGCGCTAACTGAGGAGGGGGCTTTTTTGCTGGCTCCAGTGGCTCAAGGCGATCAAGACGCCACAGACCTTCAGCCTCTGCTTTGCCTGCAGTGCTGGTAGACACCGGAGCGTTGCTGCAGCAATCATTGTCCACTGGCTGCTGAAAAGCAGCTCAGTGCAATTTGCATGTTGGCTTGGCGCTTGGCACGTTTGCATAGATGTGTCAGCCTGAGGCCAGCTCTATGAGGTGGAGCTGCAGCGCCTGGCAGAGCGGTCGTGGACTGGCTGCAAAGGCTGGTGCCGTGACTGCACCCAGCTTCCTGGCTTACAGTACAGCATGCACATTCTTCAAATACATTTCGCACATCACGCATCCTTGCCACCATCCTTGCGCACTAAGGCACTACCTCACACCTTCCCAAGATGTGAGACAGGGCTATGGGA